ACCATGGTGTAAGAGCACATAGTAAGTGGAGAATTTCTATTTCCTCCACTCACACTTAACCACATTATTTCATTCTCTTTCTTACAAGAAAACCATAGCCTCCATGGATGGAGCTTGAAGCCTTAGGCATTGACTTTGATCTTTGAGGCCCTTCCACTTACTTTAGACCATAAAACTTGGAATACTTTTTGTTCCCCTCATCCTCCTCTTCAAAACCCTTGAAGGATTTAGCCTAACTCCTAGTTTTGCTTTGGTATCTAGAGATTCAATTCTCTAGTGAGGTATTGATCTATTATTTTGAAGTATTTTTATGTCATTATTGAGTGTTTTACATGCATGAAAGAGAATGACTTGTATTTTGCCCTTAAACTGTTTTAACTTGAAATTAATCTTGTCAAATTAAATATAGAATATGAAAATATACTCAATTAGCTTTCATTTAGTTTTGGTTTCACATAATTTGGATTTAAAATGAATTAGTTATGAATTTTTGAAATTGCAAGCTAGTTGTTGGAAATTTGAAGCTTTTCCTTTTCGGTCCGGAAATAAATTTTTATATGGAGCTGTGATGCTTAAATTACCTTGAAATTTTTACTGGAACTTCCCTCATGGGTTTAACACTACTCAGAATTTTTTCACGATTTTAGAGCATTTCTAATTTTTTTTTAAAATCCGAAACTATCTGCTGTCCATGTTTTTATTGCAGCTGGAAAACATATTTTTAGATGATTTATTTCACTAACCTTTTGACATTGGATCATGGCTTAAATTTTTAGTTTTACACTCTCATATGTTTACTTCCAAAATAAATTAGGTTTGCCCAATTTGGATGTCAAATGAATTTTTCATGAATTTTCAAAGTTGGAAGCTACAGGCTGAAAATGTGTTTTCTGGGCAGAATTTGTTTCGAAGTTATGGGTCAAAACTGTTTCAATTGGGAAAATATTTTGTTAAACTAAATTAATATTATCAAATTACAGTGTTTAAGCTTTCATTGGGTTTTGGATTCATTCAATTTGGATTAGAATTGAATTTTTTATGAATTTTACAAGTTGAAAGTAGCAAGTTGAAAAATCTGTTTTGCGGACCGGAAATTTGGGGCGATTTCATTTCGGTGGTAATTGGGATTTTCGTTCCAATTGAGGTAGGGAATGTTTTAGGATTATTTGTGTGTTGTATTGTGTGTTTACCATGATTATACAATATATATGTATGCCTTGTATCAAATCTAGAAAGTTAGTAATTTTTATTTCTTTGTATAAGATTTAAAATTTATGATGATGTATAACTTTGATTTAAATTGTAACATGTTAGGAAATTATGCTTAGATATGTTGGTTAACATATATTAAATTTGGATCATTTGATTAAAAATTACAACTTTTATTTAATATTTATCTTTAGTGAAAGTTTAATTCACATGGTTGTATCAAGCATTAAATCAAGTTGTAATGTGGTATTTAAATAGGCCTTGGCATGTTCTCTAACATAGATTAAATTGAGGGCATTTGGAATTGTTTAAAAATAGAGAGGAAATTAATTAATTAGCTTGATTAATTTTGTTTTAAGTGTTTTAATCACTCAACTTGTCATTTGATGTTATATATATGATGACCATGATATGTCTTTCAACATATATTAAATTGAGGTTATTTGGATTAACTTGGAATTTAGAGAATTTAACTATTTATGTTTAATTAAATTCTACTTTATTACTCCATGGACTTAATTGCATTTTGGAAGTTGTTTCTATATTTAAATCATGAATTTGGATTTGATGTATGTTCACTTGATTACTTTTGAGCATTGGATAACATAGTTGTTACTTTTATATTCATGAGAATATGTTTTTCCTTATTGAATATATTGTTGCTATGTGTAAATAATTGCACACTTTGTATTTGACATCTTACATGCCATAGTAGTTGTGAATTTTGAGCATGTATTGTATAAGTTTCCAAAATTTGGATTGTGCTTGGTCAATAGTTGATATCTTGTATATACATGTTGATATATATACGTTGTTGCACAATTTGTTGATTTTGGAAACTTGGGGATGTCGTTGTTTGGCTACGGCTAAGACTTGGTTCTAGTACGGGGGATTGTCCATCTATATAGTCTAGTGCGCACATAGGGAGGTTACCAATGGGCTAGTAACCCTAAAGTAACTATGTTGTCGGTCTGATCCGGCGTGACGTCCGAGTATCCACTTTGTTTGATTTCGTATTTCATTTCAAGTTGATAACTAGATGATATCGTAACTTGTTGTTCCTTATTTGATTTCCTATTTTGCGCTTAAGATGTGGCTTTGTAAAAGCATGCTTCATGCGTTGTATTGGAAGTTCCATTGTTGGTTAAATTGCATCGATATCATAATTTGTGTTTTGATGTTCAAATGTAGTTTAGGAATGACCTTATAGATTCATTTTGAACATAGACGTTAGGTGGCATGACCCACACTTATTGTTTTCGTAATTTTGGATTTCAAGTTGAAGACTTTGAGAATCTATATCTTGTTGCCTTGTATAAAATGTTTTCATATTATTTGAATTGCATGAACAATGTGATATGATTGAAATGATCTAGGTAGCTTAGGATGTTCCCTGGGTCTCATCTTGGCATAGACGTTAGGTGACATGAGCCCCTTTAACATGTTTCATCATAAGGTGATAAAATTGTAAAATACTAGGTCGATGCATGCTCATCTCATACGAGTAGCTTTATGTTACTCACCCCTACGATACTGGGGCATATTTCAGATACAGGACCCAGGATTTGAAGATTCCATTGCTCCTTGGATGGCTTACAGTTTCTAAGTTTCTATTTTATGCAAGTGTTAGCATAAGATGCCTCTTTGTAGCCCTATTTGTTTAAACTTGTATTCGTTGATTCGTATATGTAAAGTGTACGTAAGTGCACTCTTTTCAATGTATTTAACATGCATGAGATGAGGCCGGAGACCAATGACATGTATCTCGTTTTCTATGCACTTTTGTTTTCAAAGTTTATTATGAAAATATTGGAAAATGTTAAGTCATTACTTCATAACTTTCGCATCGGGTGTTGGAATTTCATATCTTTTCTGCCCGGAATTAGAATTAGACGATTCTTGAGTCTAATTTTGTTCATTTTTTGTTATCCTTCCAATGGTGCGCACGGTGGCACCCTTTTCAGTGAGAAATGACCATTTTGACCTTAGTTCATCTCTTTTCGGGTTAGGCATTCTTGCTTCATTTGCTTGGCTCATTTGAGTTCGGTGGCTTCATGGAGAGTCACTTTGGGGCCTTAGGGATGACGTACATCTCTTGAGGTCATTTGGCTTCTTTCGCTTCCGCATTTCGGTTCCGTTATCGGGTCAACTTCTGGTTCATCACTAACGCACCGGGTTAAGAAATCCGGGTCGTTACATTATTCCCCACAACAATATCATTTGATGTATTTTCAAAAGATTATGATGAAGAGGGACTGGTTGAAGATTTTGAATCTATCATTGCTCAGCTTGAAAAGTGATCTTGTCACTGGTTGAAGATTTTGAACTTTTGTCTCTGCAACTTTGGTGATTTGAAGAGGCTTTTGTCTCAACAAATATGGTTGAAGATTTTGTACTTTTGTTTCTACAACTTCTACGCAAAGTCTTATTTTGTATTATAATGAAGTCTAGCACACTTAAGAATTGCAGTGTATGTTGGGATGCTACTGTATTGCCTAGAGTAGTTGATGCAAAAATATTTGTTGAGTCATGTTTTTGAATGATTTATGATTTTGTGATTATGCTCTCAGCTTTATTATTTAAACAGGATATTCAGTGTTGTCTCGTTAAAATGGCAAACATTTTTTGAAATAACCTTTAGATTGATATGTTCTTATTTACTTGTATGTGTCTATATACAGGATGTACTAGAATGCTGATGTTTTTGGTGTGTCTGGTTGGTTTTATACTGATGTTCTCCAGATTGATTGGCTAAAATAAATAAATAAATGGGTCCACGGGTCAGAGTTGGTTGACCCTGTTTATTTTTTACCTGCCCATTTTTAACCCGTTCAGAACGAGTTGATTATGGGTCATGACCCATATTTGACCCGTCCATTTTCAACCCGATTCAAATTCGGCCCAACCCGCCCATTTACCACCCTAGTAGGAATACAATGCTACAAATGAATTGACAGTTTTCTCTACCTCTAACCTCCATAACTTGTTAGACTCCTTATATATAGGCATCCTACAGTCCTACTCTTTAATAAAAGGTTCAGATGCATTGCGATCAATAGCTAAGATCTAAGCTCAAAAAAAATCCACGATTCTCTAATTAAATACAAAAGACTCTAGAAACTAACCATCTAACAATCTAGATATTTACAACCTTCCATATATGATCTAACAATCTAGATATTTACAATCCATATTACAACGCTCCACAACAATCTAGATATTTACAATTCCTGTTACAACACTAGACAATTCCTGCGCATATGATTTGCAGATGCCATGCTCTTTCATATCAGCAGGGCGTGACACTCACTGTTGTTATAAGATAAGGCCTTATATTTGCACACTAAAATTTTTTCTCTATTAGCAGGTGTCACAGCGATGTTGACAATTGTAGCTGGTACGAGTACTGTCCTCACCAGGGGCATAGCGATGTTGGCAGAGATTCATGAGTTAAGCCTTTGAAGTCTCGCTTTCAAACCGTACTCCTAGCTTGAATGGTGCATATGTTGTAGAACCGATACACGTATTTTAAAAAAAACTAATTTGCTCAAACTATTAAACCAATCTTACTATTGTGAGGACAGTACTCGTACCAGCTACAATTCTCTGAACTACTCTCTCATTCCCACATTTCTTCCTCTCATTCACTTCCTTCGTTCCCTCATTTTCGATGCTTGAAATCCTCTCCTGTGAAACAGTGTCCGTTCTCCTCCACTTAATGAACATCACAACGTTTTCAAAAACTACAAATACTAAACCAATTTCACACTACTAGCATGTCATACAAGCACTTTTACAAACACATAATGGCATTACTATTAACTCTGCGCTGCAGCGTGGAGCTCAGTTTCTCAAACCAGGAAGATATCCGCACCAAATACTTAGATATAAATTTTGAAGAACATTGCTCAACATGAAATGCAAAGGAGTCAAAATCTTTTCAAGCTAATAATCTTAATACACATCAATCAAACTATGACAAGTCTAACGAACACGACAATTAATCGTACTGGGGTTCTTTCTACTGCTAACTTCTTCCGTCTCTTGTGTTTGATTTGGAGGATTCTCACGAAGAGTAAGAACAGGTCATACCCCTTTCAGATACTTAAATAAGGAAAAAGTAAAATGAAATGTTTATATATCCCGGGAAAATGTAGGCAGCAGGCAATGGAAGAGAGATATGCAAGGCTCAAGTCATTTACTTTTATCAGCAAGCACATCCACCTGACTGAGATTGGGACTGTGATGCACTCGCGCTGGTAGACTTCAGATTCACATCAACCATGTCTTCTTGCTTCGTTGAAGAAAGTGTTTCCATTCCTGGTAATGCAGCAGCAATTTTCCTAAACAGTGCCTGTACAAGATTCATTCTATCTTAGCTATGTTTTCCCATGAGTAACTACAAGGAACCACTAAGTGTGGACCCCCAAATCATTAGTGTGCCATTATATTATTAAAAACTAGAATATTGTTATAAGTCCATCTCCGTTGTGTGTGTTGTGTGTGTGTGTGTGTGTGTGAGAGAGAGAGAGAGAGAGAGAGATTGAAGGTACCTTGATGTTGAATCCAGCTTTTGCACTGGTTTCAATAAACATTACATTTAAATCACGAGATTTGGCTTCTGCTTCTTCTATCGAGACTTGCCTAAAGGAAAACCCACACAAGACTATGTTAAAGAAGGGGAAAATCAAGTGAAAACCAAAATTGATCAATTTATGAGAGCAGAGAAGTATCAAATAGCTAAAATCCCCAAGTCTTTATAGGAAAGAGACGAGGGCATTAGCAAACAGCACCAAGCCGAGGAAAAAAGATGGGGCTAGCGTAAGTGATGCTCCAAATTGTGTACTAGCCCGAATAATTAACTAGTTCAACTAAGCCAACAATGTCAATGAAGAAATTCAACTGAAGGGGAAAAAAAAAAACCTGTAGTATTTATACTATGTGTATGAGCATTTGGAAACAAAGAAAGGGTATAAGCAAACAGATGAATGGAGCTAAGTTGATTAAAATGGGGAAAGCATAACTGATGTTCTGAACTGTCTAGCATACCCAGACAATCAACAAGTTTGATAAAGCCAACAATGTTAAGAAAGGTACTCAAATAAATTTAAATGAAGCTCAAAAATGGTTACTTCTCTTTGTTAGAGAGCTATATGTAATTTCATATTTTAGTTAAGGGTGGCACTATATTTTAATAGTTAGGGCTATTTCTTTATAATTTTCTTCTGTACTTTACGATTTGTAATACACAAGTACAAAATTTTCTTCTTCTCTTGCATCAGAGCAGTGACGACTTGGCTTGGAATCAAAACCCTAAAATTTGAAGTGGCAAACTTGATTTATCTGCTTCAACTTCATTGCAAGACATTATAATCACAGCATCTCGCAAACCCTAATCACAGATCATTGCAATCGATCGTTGTTAATTCTGTTCGATTTCGCACGACCTCGCAATCAACGATCGCATCTCTTTCTCTCTCTGTTTGCAACTAAGTTCTTCATTCTCACAATAGCACTACGAGTTCTTGTTTCTCTGCCTGAACACTGCATCTCTATTTGCCTTGCAATTTCTGCGCGCATCGCAATTTCAGTTTAAATATCATCGCATGACCTGCCTTTGATTTTGTTTTCGTCACGCAACTGTTTTGGTTATATGTTTGTATCAATCTCTGCACTTTGCTCGATATAGACTTCTCTTTCTGTTTGATTTTCAGCACACTGTTCAATCACAATCTTGCTTTGACACACTGTTCAAATCCTTGTGAGTAATTTGTTGGGTAGAATTCTCTTTCAACCATTGCATATCAGGCAGAGGTTTTTATTTTGTGGCTCCAGTACTGTTCATTTAAAGACCTTTGCATCTTGGACAGTAGTTGAAACAGTAGTGAGTTTTTTGGAACATTGGGGAAAAAATCCATTTTGTCATATTTACAATAATAATAATAATGATGATTATTAAGAAATCAATGGGACCTCCAACCAAAACAACCAACCCCCCCGCGCGCCCGCCAGGCGGAATCTTGATTTATTTTAAAATGGCCAGTGGTAATTCTGACTCCCTTCAAGCAATTAGTGTGAAGTTACAATTATGCTTCTTAGGCAAATGTGATGAAAAAAATTCTGCTGGGGAAGAACACACGGGGTTCTGTTACTGGAACTGTGTCAGTCCCAACTCCCAACAGATAAGAAGAAAGAAAATTATGTTGAACTGTTGTCCACTTGGGAGGTGAATAATGCAAAAATAATTACTTAAATAAATAATTTTGTGGATCAATCAATTGGTATGCATTTGGCCAAAGTTTCTACAGCTAAAGAAACTTGGGATTTTCTACCCAAGTTATGTGTTCAGTCTAATTTCTGAGCGCATTCGTAAGTATCCTGTTTGTTTTGATTTTTCTAATTCTTGTTATTCTACTACTTTCTATTCTTTTTTGGCATCTCTTCATTCTCTTTCTGAGCCCACGTCCTATATAGAGGTTGTCATGAATCCTCTTTGGCAACAGGCAATGGATGAAGAGCTCTCTGCTTTGCATAAAACCGGCACATGGGACTTTGTGCCTTTACCCCCTGATAACGTGTATATGCAGGTGGGTCTATAAAATCAAAATTAATTCTGCCAACTCTGTAGAATAATATAAAGCTCGTCTGGTTGCAAGAGGATTCTCCCAAGAATATGGAATTGACTATGAGGAGACCTTCGCTCCTGTAGCCAAAATGATGCCAGTTCGCACATTGATTGCTATTGCAGCCGTTCACCAGTGGGGTGTCACAGCTGAATATAAAAAATGCCTTTTGAACAGGGCCTTGACTGAACAAGTTTATATGATTCCTCCTCCTCCTCTTGGTCTTCCTCAACATCTTGGAGAGGTGTAAACTTAGGAAGGCATTGTATATTCTTAAACAAGTTCCTCGGGCTTGGTTTAAGAAGTTCTCTATGGTGATTTGTGCTTTGGGTTTTCATCCAAGGGATCATGATTTTGCTATTTTTTTCTTTTTCGCTCTTCTTCTGCTGGCCTTGTTATTCTTCTTTTGTATGTTAATGACATTATTCTAACTGGTGATGACACTGGTGGCATTGTTCTCTTGAAATCCCAATTGCCGCAGTAGTTTGAGATGAAGCATCTCAGTCCTCTTCGCTATTTCGTGGCATTGAAGTAGCTCATTCTCCTAAAGCTATCTTCTCGCTCAGTCTAAGTATGTGTAGCATATGTTATTCACAGATCTCATCCCACTAATACTTGGACAATTGAGACTCCTCTTGAGCTTAATGTTCGTTATAATCATATTGATGGCGTCCTTTTGGCTAATCCCACTTCATAGAGTTATCGTTGGCAGTTTAGTGTATCTCATTGTCACTCAGCCTCTTCTTACCTATGTTGTACACATCGTCAGCCAGTTTGTATCATCATCTACTACTCTTCCCTAGGTTTCTATTCTTCGTATCTTGTGCTATCTGCGGGATACTTTGCACCAGAGTTTATTGTTTTCTTCTATATCAGCTTTGGAGCTTTGAGCTTTTTCTAATGCTGATTAGGTGGGGATTCCCTAAGTCGTAAGTCTAGCACTGGTTTCTACATCTTTTTAGGTGATTCTCTAATTCCCTGGAAAAGTAAGAAACAAATAGTTGTTGCTCGCTCTTCTGCCAAAGCTGTATCTTGCCATGGCTGCTACTACCGCAAAGGTCATTTGGCTGCGATGGTTGCTTACTGACTTGGTTGTTTCTTTGTCTGCTCCAACTGATATGTACTGCAATAATAAGAGTGCCATCCAAATTGCACATAATTTGGTTTTTCATAAGCGGTATTGAGATCAATTGCCATTTGTGCGACATCACCTTCAGCTTGGCACCATTTCTCTACCATTTGTTACTTCTATGCAATTGGCTTTCTTCTTCATGAAATCCTATACTATTATGCGTTTTCATTTTCTTCTTTACAAACTCTCGGTGCTTCTCACAATCAAATCGTGAGTTTGAGGGGGGTGTTTTTTTATTTTTAATTTTTAAGTAAGATTGTATTAGAAAGTGTTCAAATGAGAAACGCAGCTTAGAGAACTACACAAAGCCAAAAAGGCCACTAAACTCTCAAAGAGTCCAAAAAATCAACAATTTCCCCCACGGATTTACAATTTCTCCCCAAAATCCAACAAAAAAGAGAAAAAAGAATAAAGAACTTAAGCGTTCCCATGGGAGTCTCTTCGCCATTGAAAGACCTCCTATTCCTTTCCGTCCATAAGCACCACCAAACACACACAGGCGTCATCCTCCAAAAGTCGCGGGCTTGGGAATCCAGTGTACAACCTCTCCAAGCCTCAATCAAACCCATATATGACCTAGGCATAACCCAATGGACCCCAAACAACTCAACAAAAGGGCCCAACAATCTTGGGCCACAGGACAATGGAGCAAATGATGATGAACCGTCTCATCATCTCTCTTGCACATACAACACCAATTAACAACAATTTGTTTCCTCCTCAGATTGTCCCAAGTTAAGGATTTTCCCTAGAACAACCATCCATGCGAAAAAGCCACCTTGGGAGGAGCCTTGGACCGCCACGAGTTTGAGGGGGGTGTTAGAGAGTTATATGTAATTTTTATATTTTTTTTAAGGGTAGTTCGGTATTTTAATAGTTAGGGCTAGTTCTTTATTATTGTGTTCTGTACCTTATGCCTTCTGATACACACGTACAAAGCTTTCTTCTTGTCTTAACACTTTGATGACCATTTTACCCCAGCAGGCATGAATAAAGCCTCTTAAAAGACAAAAGATTATGCCATTGGATAACATTACATCCAGCGGGGCCATGACTTGCAACAGTAAAGGCTGAAACTTTCAGGCATAAGAATGAACTAATTCTCAAAATTCATCCACATGCCAAAGAAAGAAACCCTTAAACAAGGACTAACTGAAAATAAAACATAAATATCTACTAAGGAATCAATCACTAAATTCATTACAAACAGTTAACCATTACCTTTTTTCCACGAGATCGGTTTTGTTTCCGACAAGAACAATAATAACATCACTACCCCTCTCAGCGCGAACCTCCTCGATCCATTTTGAAGTGTTCAGGAAAGACTGCCGACCTAAACCACAGAGACACCAGAGAGACAGTAGGAAACCATCAGGAATAGTAGGATGATACCCAAACGACAATAAATTGAAAGGTGAGGGTGAAAGAAAGACATGGCCATTAGATTAATGGCAACCATGGCAACTAAAAAATGGATAACAATTGAAGCAGGAGTAAACGAATAAATGACAAAAAAATATCAAGCTGAAAAAACTTTGCATACTTGCAACATCATACACAATAACTGCAACAGAGGAATCCCTAATATAGCTTGGAATGAGACTCCTAAATCTTTCCTGTCCAGCCGTATCCCTGAAACCATGTAAGACTTAGATAAAAATAAAAATATTCTGAAAGAGAACTTTTTCCATATAATAAAAAAACCATGTAAACATCAGTTGAAAACAACAATAATGTGCAAGATGATAGCATAAGAATAAACCAAGTCTTTTGTCTCAGTAACCACAATCATTAGTACAACTGCGCTTTCAACATCATTCACTGTGCCATGAATGCAAGCAAGGTAATTTCTCGACTAGCTATGAGATAAATAATCATTTCATACTACAAAGATCTTTTCAAGTTGCTACTTGCATATAATTGTTGTCAGACACATGCTTTTTCCAATTGAGAGATGTATTGTGGAACGTGAACTTAGTTTTAGTGGTAATAGAAAATTAATCCATGCTGTCAATTAGCTGAAGATTCCAATTACCAATTACAATACTTTGTTTCAATAATCTTTATGATATCTTATAACTTCAATAACAATGAATAGCAGGCTACAAAGGGTTTTCCTAATATTCTCTGGATCTTGATTCTAGATCACAAGAGAAGAAATGTCAAAGAATGAAACAAATGGTAACAATGGAAATACAGAGGATGTAAAGATGAACGGGAAACTGGAAGCTGTAAGACCCATTATTTGGAAACTTATTCCAAAATGAGGATTTTTGAGATAGATCTTTTGGATGCAATTTACTTGATTCATCTCTTCAACTTGTGGTGCAAGAACGAACTCTACAATATTTCAGGGGGTCATTAAGTAATTGCATATCAATTACTTTTGTGTAATACACTTGCACGACCCATATCTTCTCTCTATTACTTTTCTTTCAACAATGATGTTGAGCCAAAAAAGTTTAATTGGTTAAAAAAAAAACACATCAAATTCTTTTAAAAGAAATATGGTGCATACATAATTCAACTAGTCTTTAAATTTACCACCAAGGCTTTAGCTCAAGTGACATTACCTCCTCCTCCCATATGGGAAAACAAGGTTTCAAGACCCCATTGGAGCAGTAATGGGTGCCCATGAATTGGGTGCATGCAAGGCTGTGAGTTCGATCTGTGTGTTGCTCAACTACCAAAAAAAAAAAAAGGTGCATACAACTTCAAGAGAAGCAATTTTCATATCCACTGTATCAAAACATTTTTTGTCCTTAATTATCCATCAATGTGCAATACAGCTTTACACAAATTTTGGATCAACAGTTCCAGATATATTCTGTTTATAAGAAAAATGTACCAAACTTTGCTCTCCAACATAAAGATAACTGCAGAATACACAGGGTGCTAGATCTTACCACAACTGCAAACGAACTGTTCGATCTTCAAGATACATAGTCTTTGACAGAAAATCAATACCAATTGTCGCCTAATTCAATATAAGGATATATATTAGTTTCACAACTGCATCAAGCTAAATATCTGAGCTTCACTTAAAGAACTCAAAAAAAATTAACATGAAAAATCAAACATGGCCTCCTCATAACAACCCAACTAGAGAGAGATAGAGAGGCCAATAACCTGACAGAAAGTGCATCTAAGAAATGGAGCTTTCCATGCACAAAAAAATGCTATCTATATGATTAAAAGCGTTCTTATAAAATAATATTAACAAAACAGTATATGAAATTCAAAAGATGGCATGCATATAGGACTATACCATCTAAATTGATAACCAAGATGAATCAATGCACATATAAAGTTCATACTATCATGTAAACGCATAAAAACCTTCATACTTGTCAGGCAAGAAAGTTATCAATCTCATTCAACCATCTTATTCAAGATGAGTGTTAAAATCAACCACAAGCCATTAAATAAGAGATGATGTGGATTAAAGAAACTTCTTATTATTCAAATCTCGTGATGAGCATTTCTTGTAAGGTAATACTGGATGCTATGCACCATAAAAGCACCATGGAACACTTTCATCACAAAGATGTCGGTATTATCTTATCGGAAATTATCCGATTGTTTTAGTATTTGTGGATAATTTATATGTCCAAATAATAAAAAAGAAAACAAAATGGTGTTGGTATACATGTCAAAGCTAGGCGAGTTTTAAAATGCTTCAATATCTCATATGGTCAAATTGCCAAGGTTGTAGCGCAATTTTACAAGTACTTGTGGCCACTAAAAGGGAGAGGGTGTTAGATGCTTGAATCTTATCTATCAAAAAACCCAAATTACATGTGAAGACCTATTATATTTTCAAGGGGTGTTGGAAATGAATGTTGGTTACAATCAGAATGCCTAATAACAGAAGTTCCACAGGAACTATTTCTGTTCCTAGTTCAGCACTCTCCAGATTGTAAAGCTTTTGCATCATAGGATATCAGAAGAAATAACAAAACAAAATTTTGAGTTTTCTGGAAATTAATCTCCGCAATCTCAAACTCCGAATACATCTGTTAATATGGGGCGGAAGTCCAAGTGAAGTTCTTAGCTAATGGAAGAATATTAATCAAAGAAGTTGACATGAGGTTGGATTTTCAATTCAAAATTAGCGTAATAGAATATGAAAATCCTGACTTATGAATCTTCAAATGGTAACTAAAAGGATAGCCCAAGTCTCTTTCCACCATTTGCTCCATGCACTTCAACATGGATGTGATAAACTTGCCGAATCCCCAAGTATAAAGTGGGTGCAGCGTAAATTAGAAAGAAAAGAGGTTACCCTGTTTGAAGTGAGTTTCTGCCGAGGTAAATAGCTTGATGAAGGCAAGGGTGTGACGACGATGATGATGACAGTAGCTTGATGAAGGCAAAAATTCATAATTTCATTTTTCACTGGCTGGTAAAAGCAGCTCCTCGCGACAGGTATGGTGTCTTAGACAAGGCTATTATCATTCATGCTAGTAGGTTAAAGAAGCCATTAATTGTGTTGTTGATAGGTCGGTAAACGTGTTCTGCAAAAATTTTGGAAAGACCTCCATTGGCTTACTGGGAAGGAAGAAAACATAGATAATTACAGTAATCTTGTGATTTAGGAAATTCAGACGTTTACATAAATAGATAAATGTCAACCTCTACATTGAAAGATGAATTCAGATATCATGATATACCAGTATATATTATAAAATCAATGTTATGAAACAATTCCACAATAGTTTTAGATATTGGAGATTCTAACGGAGATATTCACATGGTGACATATTAACAAATACTCAGTACCATGATTAGAGGAAGCATGAGATTGCAGATGCATCAAGAATGGAATGAGTTACTCATTAAAATATCTCTTTGTCAAACAATCTTCTGTCTCAAACATTTGCTGCCTCTTATTGATAAATTTACCATGCTAGAACACAAGGACTTCAAAATGAACTTTGTAACCCAACTATCTCCAAAAATAGAAAACCATAAAATAAAATAACAAAAAATGCATAACTGTCTCACCATCCCCCTGCCACATACGTACCAATTTTTAGGATTATCTCTACCCTCATCAAGTTATCAATTGCATCAGTTTATCAAAACCACTTGGAGAGGAATGAACAATAAGTGTTATAATTATAGATTTCTAGCACATGAATCAAAATGTTAACTCCCCTCCCTTAATTTATCGCAATTCTTTTTCTTTTTTTCAAATCTAGACTCCAATAGTTGGGCCTCAAAACTTGTTTTTATGAGAAGAATCCAATTACAGATGGACAAGTTTCGAGATCCGCCAGAAATTGAATTTAAATTGCAATTCCTGCAAACTACAATACAAAGAGTGGGCCAATTTCCAGTATGTACTAACAATCGACCTTTTCTTTCTTCCATTCCTTTTTTTTTTCCCCTCTAAAAGGTCAAGGCCAATCCACTCTCTACACTAACGTACCAAACACAGTCCAGTCCAATTTCCAACCCCCTTTCTTCTTTCATAAAGCCATATAAGAATTTTAAGATTGCAAATTGTCCTTAGCTAATTTAAAAATTCATATTCTTCGTTCTTTATTCTTTTATGTTAGAGGAAGTACATGCTCCTCGATTGATGATTTCTTTGATCTCTTGGATTCTATTGGTCCTTAGATCTTTTCTCTTGTATTAGGGATGCGTTCCCCTTTTGAACGTTTTTCTAATAAATTTTTACTTATCAAAAAAAAAAAAAAGATTGCAAATTGTCAACATTCTTATGGTGATTAAGAGGGACATTTCTAGTTTCCCTTACAATCATTGGAACTAGGGGTGCACATTCATCAATTACATAAACTAAGCTTGGATACACGTTTTGTGCATTGTTTGAATGAACCAAGCCTGAACAACAACAATCTGGACTCACCTAGGCTAGTGAATAGTTCATACTGCTGTAAAGACATTTCAAACAGGTGTCATTTGATTATATAGATGAGATCCTTTATGAACCTACATAAATAAAAATACATTTAAAGGAATTGTTGGCTGGTATATAAATCTAATAAACTATGAGAAAAGTTGAACAATATTTTTACAAGTGCACAATGAAGTGATAAGCACTTATTTGTATTAGTCATTTCAACATGCACACTCTAATATAAATATGAGTGAATATCTACATGAGAAGACCAATAAGCCCATAAACGTAATTGCGTCCAGTAAACATAGATGAACCAAGCTTGACCAAGCTTTTTAAGCTACATTCAAAGCTTTAGTTCAGCTCGAACTCGTCAAAATTTTAATATACCGAGCACATTCGAAATCCGGCTCGACAAAGCTCAATTCATTTACAGTCCTAATTGAAAATTTTCTGTTAAAATGCCTAGGCCTTCTTAATAAGTAGTTCCAAGTCCAGCCCAAAATGAATTTAAGCCAGAAGGAAATCAAATACAGTTGATCAATCAAAAGCCCTCATTTAGTGGGTAAAATTTTTCATTAAGTCAAACATTTCACTAAAGGTGCCATTCCTCTCCCAGCTACTTCACTTTCATGTGTATTTCACTCATAATTGTGTCGTAGAACAAGCAATGGCAGTCTTAAGATTTACCATTACACTATTAGCTGACTAATCCGACCAGTCTTAGCAGTGACTGAGAAAGACACCAACGACTGAGAATGAAACCTAAGTCTACCCTCACTTGATTATTGTCTTTGGTGTCCTTATTACCCTACACTAATCATAAAATGGACATATTGGTGAGCATTCAAAGCTATGTTACATGTACTCGGGTACGGGTGTCGGACAAGGGTATGTATCCATGGATCGGACGGGTCAAATCTCCAAACAGAAGGACACACGGACACGACTAAATATTCATTTTATTAATTATTTTATTTTATTTTCTAGAGTAAAGTAATGTTTTTATCTAATATAATGTTCAATATAGGCATTTAACTCTTTTCAAAGTAATAATATAATGTAACTGAATGATTGGATATGTTTTTTAAATACATGTCTAACCAAAAGTGTCAGACACATATCCCATACCCATGTCCGAGGGATATTGGTCCAACACAGGTACTTCACTAATTTTGAAGAGTTCATGTAACAGGGATTCAAAGGCAATCATTGGTAACACCAAAATGGTCTACAAACCAGTATCACCAACATATGAACTCCAATTAGAAATTAAGTCTATTTAATTCAATACCAATAAGCATGCCTTAGGGCCAAAAACACATAGGCTATATTTGGTAGCATGAAACTGGCTTCTTGAGAGAAAATCTTCCTTGCAAGAGGAGTACCATGTCATCGGTGTCACCAACTAATTATATCTTGTCACATGAGTAAGAATGCATCTATTTCAGCGGAACCTATAAGGCTATATTTGGTAGCATGAAACTGGCATCTTGAGAGAAAATCTTCTTTGCAAGAGGAGTACCATGCCATCGGTGTCACCAACTAATTATATCTTGTCACATAAGTAAGAATGCATCTATTTCAGTGGAACCTATAAGAATGCACTACATGTCAGTGTCTTGTGTTTCGTACCCCTGCCGCATTAAAGTTTTTGTCTTTTTTTTTTCCTGAATATTAAAGTTTTTGTCAGTGTCTTGGAACTGAAATTGGAGGAAAAATTAGTTCAAAATTAAAACTAATTTCTCTCCGATTCCAATTCCAAAATGCCGATTCCATGCTTCCAAACGCAACAATGATATCATTATAAACAGCATAATTAACATAACTGATTAGAATTGAATAAGATCGGTTCCTTAAACTGCTCTCAAATCTAATTCAACATCAACATACAATAGAATCTAAAGAAAACACTACAGATAAACAAAAAAAAAAAAAATTAAATGATCAATCCGAACTCTAAAACTGGTAGATCCACATCTAAAAAGAAAATTCAATAATCGATCTAAAGCACTAAAATCAGGTATATACGTTTCGTGTATATATGTATATGTATGTATATAAGTTGTGATCTGTATTACCTGATATGTATTATCGAATTTATCGTACATGAACCGAGTGATGATGCTTGTTTTGCCAACCGATTGATCCCCCAAGAACACGAGTTTGTACTTGGCGAGTGCAGAAACTGGAGCCATAAATTGAATCGAACTGCAGATTCTGTAACTTTTTCAATTGGAGTGATTAAAAGGAAGTTACGAACTCAAACCTCGGTTTTGGTTTGTGTTCGAACTTTTGATGATCTGAGGAGAGAGAGAGAGAGAGAGAGAGAGACGTCTACTGTCTCGTCACTTAACGGACTTTTTTCTTTTTTCCAATTGGGGCGGGTTTGGGTTAACGATTTGGGTAAAATGGTTAAAGTTGTTTCGGGAGTGGATGCTATACGGCCCGATTACTGTTTACACCCAAAAAAACCGACTAAACACGTGTGAGTCGTTGATTAGCACAACCTGCACGAGCTCAAATCCCCTGCTGTGAGTTACCCTGCAGTCCCCTGCTGTGAGCTGATGAAAGGCCTTAGTTTGGCCACGTGTGCTTCAGTTTGTAATATGTCTGTGGGCTCCACTAAAATGGTGCAAAACGCATTATTCCGTTAAATCTGCCTTCCGTTAAACATCCATCTCTCGGCATCTCTGAAAAAGCCCAAAAGAGCCGGCTCTACAAATTAATTGAGCCGTCTCCACATTTCTTCTTGAGCCGGCTGTCCATTATTTTTTTTTTCTTTTATTTTTATTTTTTTTTGCTTGGCAAGGAACCGGCTCTAAAAATTCTGATCACAGGAATTCTGATCACCTTCACCATCAAAATAAGCTATTGACACAGTTCTGTAAAACTAATTTCACACCTCTGTAAAATTAATTTGACACCTAAATTTAACATTTTTTAATTCTTTCATTTGTTATCTGTTAGTGTAAATTATGATATTTTTCTACTTGAAATTGACATTGGTTAAGCATTCTAGTATATTTGAAATGTTGGATAATTGTAGGATTTTTTTCTATAATCTTCAATAACTATTCTAGTGAATGTAAAATCTTACATAATTGTTTTTTTTAACTGAGTTGGCTTCATTAGGTACCAATTTGTTATCTAAATATTTTTTCTTCTCATGTATGCGGCAATTACACATTTCACAGGTTATTATGTGACATTTATGAGAAAAAATACATTGTGAAGTTTAATAAGTAGGGACACTGATTACCTTCACCATCAAAATAAGCTATTTACACAGTTCTACTAAACTAATTTCACACCTCTGCAAAACTAATATCACACCTAAATTTAACATTTTTTAATTCTTTCATTTGTCATCCGTTAGTGTAAATTATGATTTTTTTTTACTTGAAATTGACATTGGTTAAGCATTTTAGCGTATTTGAAATCTAGCGTAATTGTAAGATTTTCTTCAATAATCTTCAATAACCATTCTAGTGAATGTAAAATCTTCCGTAATTGTTTTTTTTTTTTTTTAACTAAGTTGGCTTCATTACGTACCAATATGTTATCCAAATATTTTGTCTTCTCATGTATGCGGCAATTACACATTTCATAGGTTATTATGTGACATTTATGAGAAAAAATACATTGTGAAGTTTAATAAGTAGGGACACTGATCACCTTCACCATTAAAATAAGCTATTCACACAGTTCTACAAAACTAATTTCACACCTCTGCAAAACTAATTTCACACCTAAATTTAACATTTTTTAATTCTTTCATTTGTCATCCGTTAGTGTAAATTATAATATTTATTTACTTGAAATTGACATTGGTTAAGTATTATAGTGTATTTGAAATATTGGATAATTGTAGGATTTTCTTCTATAATCTTCAATAACCATTCTAGTGAATGTAAAATCTTCCATAATTATTATTTTTTAACTGAGTTGGCTTCATTAGGTACCAATGTGTTATCCAAATATTTTGTCTTCTCATGTATGCGGCAATTACGCATTTCACAGGTTATTATGTGATATTTATGAGGAAAAAAATATTGTGAAATTTAATAAGTAAGGACACTGATCACCTTCACCATCAAAATAAGCTATTCACACAGTTCTGTAAAACTAATTTCACACCTCTGCAAAACTAATTTCACACCTAAATTTAACATTTTTTAATTCTTTCATTTGTCATCTGTTAGTGTAAATTATGATTTTTTTTTACTTGAAATTGACATTGGTTAAGCATTCTAGCGTATTTAAAATCTTCGATAATTATAGGATTTTCTTCTATAATCTTCAATAACCATTCTAGTAAATGTAAAATCTTGCAAAATTGTTTTTTTTTTTTAACTGAGTTGGCTTCATTAGGTACCATTGTGTTATCCAAATATTTTGTCTTCTCATATATGCGGCAATTACACATTTCACAGGTTATTATGTCACATTTTTGAGAAAAAATACATTGTGAAGTTTAACAAGTAGGGACACTGATCACCTTCACCATCAAAATAAACTATTTACACAGCTCTGCAAAACTAATTTCACACCTAAATTTAACATTTTTTAATTCTTTCATTTGTCATCCGTTAGTGTAAATTATGAATTTTTTTTTCTTGAAATTGACATTAGTTAAGCATTCTAGCGTATTTGAAATCTTGGTTAATTGTAGGATTTTCTTCTATAATCTTCAATAACCATTGTAGTGAATGTAAAATCTTCCATAATTGTTTTTTTAAACTGAGTTGGCTTCATTAGATACCAATGTGTTATTCAAATATTTTGTCTTCTCATGTATGCGGCAATTACACATTTCACAGGTTATTATGTCACATTTATGAGAAAAAATACTTTGTAAAGTTTAATAAGTAGGGACACTGATCACCTTCACCATCAAAATAAGCTATTCACACAGTTCTGTAAAACTAATTTCACACCTCTGCAAAACTAATTTCACACCTAAATTTAACATTTTTTATTTCTTTCATTTGTCATCCGTTAGTGTAAATTATGATTCTTTTTACTTGAAATTGGCATTGGTTAAGCATTCTAGCGTATTTGAAATTTTGGATAATTATAGGATTTTCTTCTATAATCTTCAATAACCATTCTAGCGAATGTAAAATCTTCCATAATTGTTTTTTTTTTTTAACTGAGTTGGCTTCATTAGATACCAATGTGTTATCCAAATATTTTGTCTTCTCATGTATGCGGCAATTACATATTTCACAGGTTATTATGTCACATTTATGAGAAAAAATACATTGTGAAGTTTAATAAGTAAGGACACTGATCACCTTCACTATCAAAATAAGCTATTCACACAGTTCTGTAAAACTAATTTCACACCTCTGCAAAACTAATTTCACACCTAAATTTAACATTTTTTAATTCTTTCATTTGTCATCCGTTAGTGTAAATTATGATTTTTTTTATCTGAAATTGACATTAGTTAAGCATTCTAGCGTATTTGAAATCTTGGTAATTGTAGGATTTTCTTCTATAATCTTCAATAACCATTCTAGTGAATGTAAAATCTTCCTTAATTGTTTTTTTTTAACTAAGTTGACTTCATTAGATACCAATGTGTTATCCAAATATTTTGTCTTCTCATGTATGCGGCAATTACACATTTCACATGTTATTATGTCATATTTATGAGAAAAAATACATTGTGAAGTTTAATAAGTAGGGACACTGATCACCTTCACCATCAAAATAAGCTATTCACACAGTTCTAACAAACTAATTTCACACCTTTGCCAAACTAATTTCACACCTAAATTTAACAGCTCTTGGGATTTAATGGAGCCGGCTCTTGAAGTTCAATGGAGCTGGCTCTAAGTTGTTGAGCCGGCTCTTTGAGTTGGCAGCCGGCTTATAATAAATATGGAGCCGGCTCTCAGAATTTTTAGAGCCGGCTCCTTGCCAAGCAAAAAAAGATAAAAATAAAAGAAAAAAAAATAATGGACAGCCGGCTCAAGAAGAAATGTGGAGACGGCTCAACCCAATTTTTTGGAGATGGCTCAATTAATTTGTAGAGCCGGCTCTTTTGGGCTTTTTCAGAGATGCCAAGAGATGGATGTTTAACGGAAGGCAGATTTAACGGAATAATGCGTTTTGCACCATTTTAGTGGAGCCCACAAACATATTACAAACTGAAGCACACATGGCCAAACTAAGGCCTTTCATCAGCTCACAGCAGGGGACTGTAGGGTAACTCACAGCACTGTACTCTTCATCCGGTAGAAAACGCGAAAGAAAAAGTTTCTGCCTCCAGTAATGGTGTTCACCGCAAGAGACATTGCCGATCCGATCGAGCGACCTCGTTTATGATCGGTGCCATCGCTATGTCGAAGCTGAGCTTATTTGATGAGGACAGGCCTATTTCGGCGCATAAGCGGGAGAGTCTCTGGTGGATCGACAGAAAGCGGCGGCAGCGAGGGTCACGCTCAGTGTCTGGACGGAGCACCGATCGAAGTGGGACTCGGCGGAGGTGTTACTCGGTGGGGGCGTCGGCGGCTTACGCAACTTGTTCTGATTTTCCAGTGGCATGGGGACTGATTCCAGTGGGGGGTCGTTTGTGAATGGGGACGCCAATTGGGCATCATGTGAGTGAGGCAGCAAAGAATTCGAGGAGAGAGAGATATGGGTTTGGGCAAACCGGCAATTTTGGATGCAAGGGTAGGATGTCATTATTTTTAACAGTTTGGTGAATGGGATAGAGTAGTGCCGATTTGTTCTTTCACAGAAACAATTTTGAAGCCTGTTGGAGCATTAAAGAATTTGTGTATGTATTTAAGAGAATTTACTCGTTTGGAGTTTGGAGCCCGGTGGGGTTCTTCCTTGCAGTCGCCGGACTCCTTGCTCGAAGTTCATTCCGTCGCCGCCGCCCTCGTCATAAGAATTGGTTCTTGGAAAGGGACACAAATTTAATTGGTTTCTTGTACCAGAATTGGTTTTGAGGAATGAATCGAAAACAGAGGAGCTTTGATAGACAAAAATTGAATTGTTTTTTTAAGAAGATAGAGAAAAAGATGAATTGGTCCCGACCCGGAGAGAGCGTTAGCGGCTGCGGTGGAGTTGGGGTGGAGTTGGAGAAGGTGAAGGCCAAAGCCAGTCGGAACTGGAACTGATTACCCCGCGAGATGAAGAAAATCAATGAACAAAAATAGAGAAAGCCATGATACGGAAGAATGTGAGAGGGTGAACAAGCACAGATAAGAAAGTTTTAAAAAAATTGAAATTTTGAATGTGTAAGGAGAGAGAGAAAGCAGAAGAGTCAGAGAGAGGCCACGGCATATCATCGCCGGAAAAATTAAGGTGGTAG